TGGGGAGATGTGAGAAAAACACAAGTATGGTGTATGAGGTCACATGGAATTAAACACTACAACCCCTGCTAGTGGTCTTACTGTGAGCACCCACACTCCTCCTGTGATGTCAGTGCACTAGGTTTCACCAGTTAGCAAGTTTATTTTAATGCCAGCTTTCTGCATTCAATCCTGTTACTTAGGAAAATTATTTAAAATAAGCTCAACAGGCACAGTCTTTTCAGAACAATTGGTATGACCTGTCAAAAGCAGTGAAGCTTGCTAAGCTCTTGGCCATGCAGGGATGATGTGACAGCAGAGGCAGAGCTTTCAATGCAGGATTCTGTAAAGACTTGTCCATGACATTGTAACTTGCTGGAGGAGGTTTTAAAATCTGTGGGAACCTTCTGGCCATCATTCCTGCTGAGAGCATAAACTCACTGTATCAGGGTATTTGATAGGTTGCTGACAGGCAGTTGAATGTTTTGCTGCTAGACATGTTGGTGAAGCATTGAGAATGGAATAAGCACAGCCTGGGATTAGAAATGGTCCAGGTGTGGCTGTGAAGTTCTCCATAGTAAACTGTGATTTACAGGCATTCTTCAAGGCTTTTTTCTGAGCTTGTGTCTCTCTGTCTCAGCTACCAGTTCCTTGTGAATGGTCCTTAGGTCCCTTCCAGGTGATGCTCCCTCTTAGCATGAGTGGTCTCTTGCAGTCCAGAATTTTGGCTGACTCTTGCTCCCTGAAGATTCATGCTTGAGCACCCATCCTGTTCTGCTTTTTCGCAAGCACTCCTTTCCCAGGTCTCCCGCAAGGAGTAAGTCTGTCTTAACAGCATCTGTCCTTTCAGGGAGTCTGAAAAATTCCAGACTGGAATTTGCCATTTAATTATCTGCTCTTTTGAATACTTCCTCCTTTCTGAACATTTTCAAAGAAAATGTATGACCTTAAGTGTGAATGCTATAGGAGGCATGGGTTCACACTGCTTCTTTGTGCTCAGACTGACCCATTCCTTGTCTCAGCAGCTGTGGACACTGTCATCCCCTTCCACTGAGACAGAGCCCAGCTCTCCTGTCAGCTCAGCTGAGAATGGTGGTGAGGTAGCAAGAGTTTGATGTTTTTCAGTTAAAGCTCTCTGACATGTAGGTATGTGTGTTCGTTTGAGACAAGTTAGGAGGAAATGTTCACCCCAAGACAGTATGAAAAGGAAAAAAAGGCCCTAAGACAAAACCAGTTTGTCTCAAAAAAAGGTCCCAACCAGAACCTCAGTGAAAGTCAAAAGAGGATGCTTTGGTGCTTTTCTTCTGTGGAGAAAGGAGAAGCATATTCTTCAGCTTTTTATGACTCATTATACCTGTCTAAAAACGACTGGGATTTTTGGAGGGCAGTTTGAGGGGAGCTTATGAGTTGAAATTAAAATCATCCAGAAAATGAAACTGCTTCAGGTAAGGAACCACCCAGCTCTCATCGGGAGCTAGACACCGCTCAAGGGTGAATTGTAGGATCCTTGCAGATTCTGACCCACTGCTCCATTTCCACATCCAGACAGCAGAGCAGAGGCAGTGTGTACTTTGTGCTGGGCTGACTTACCTGTCCTCGGCAGCTCCTGCTGGAGTAGCAGGAACCCTGTGGTCTTAGTATCCTGCTGCTGTTCAGTTCAGTGCTGAGACACGGATTCAGCAGCTTCATTCCTGAGCTGGCCTGAAACCACCATGAGCACCATGGGCTTATCTTAAAGAATCTCTCTGCTCCCTAAGCAAGAAGCAGAAAGCCAGCAAGGTAGGACCTCTGTTGACCCATGCCAATGCTTTATGTGAGGTCAGTAGAAACTGGCCCAGTGTGTTGGCAGGAGGTCTGAGGAGTGAGGACTGCCAAGTGCAAGTTAATGCAGCCTTATAAATGTTATCTAAAATTCAGTGAGAGGCAAATGCAGTCTTCCTAACTCCTGTCCAAAAGCTGTAACCTAAAGAAGTAGGCTTGATTAAACATGTTCAAACAGGCAGAAACCACTGCAAGAGTGATGCACAAATCAGTAGGAACTTGCTGCCTCTCTGCCCAGAGCATCACTGAACTGAAAAATAATATACCTATGGCTCTTGAGAAATGTATGTACAGCTGGGCTGATTTAAAGGGGATTGGTGCTCTAAGCGTCACCCTCTCCAGCAGTGACAAAGACAAGATGCATCAAAGGTGGTAGTTAAAGCCCTCTGAGGGAAGCAATTATGAAATGAGCTGACCTGGATGCAGATTTCTTTGCCCTTGAGCTGAGAAAGAAGGCTTAAGCAGGAGTTTTATATCCCTTTCAATCTCGTGCATATTTAATCTTTGTTAAAGCAGCTTGAAAGCACCATGAATGTTTGTCCAGCCCATTTCTGGGCTCCTGGTTTCAGGGCATTTTGACTTCTGCAAGGCTTGGGTGACTGGTAGATCAAAAGAAGGAAAGGAGAGCACATGTTGTTTCTTGATTTGGATATTGGTAAAGCCATAGTCTTAAAAACTAGCTCTGACCTTAGAGCATCCTCATTCTTTCCTGCTCTTGCATTCTTTTTCCATATTTCTTCTTTGAATGAAATATGATAAACTTAGCCTTAAACCTGGATCTGGACTTTCTTTATACATTCTTTTAGTGCTCTGACAGCCTAAATAGATGTTAAATACAGCTGTTCCCATACCTAAGCCAGTATCTGTAATCCTCATCAACAGTGTTGAGCACTCCTGAAAATCAAGTTACCCCTTTCAGATGCAAAGACTAAGATCTTGCAGCCTCTGTTTAGGCAAATAACTTTGATAAATGATGCCCTATACACTGAAGCCCTATTTGTAATTTGACAATTTATTTGTGTCTGTTACTGGATGATGCAGAGGGTGCTGTGAGCTGGAGTTTTCTTCTTTGCTTTACAATAAGGTACAGGCAAATAGAGATCCTTAGAGCATGTGTTTGCTGGCAGGGATGCTCAGTGCAGCAGATGTCTGTGATATCTCAAAGAGCAAGGCTGAGGGCTGGAGAAACTGTGTCCCAGAGGGATATAGATCAGAAATTCCTTACTGCTCAGGAACTGGACTGTTGTGTTAATTTCATTTTCCATTTCATTTATCTATCACTGGGATTTGGCACCAGCTAGTTGTTAGCCATCCCATCCCTTCACATCCATCTGAGTAGGGTGAATTTTTGTCTGGCTCTGTAAGCTACTCCTGGCTAAGCAGTTGCAGACAAAGCCTTCTCCTGTGTAGTCTGGCTCCAGCTATTCCTTTTCTAGCCCTTCTTGCCTCCCTGCCAGTGAATGAATGCAGCCCTGTAAAGGCAGGACAGACATGGAGATTTCTTCCAAGCCCATTTTGTCATGCTTTTGATAGTCATCTTCCTGCTAGAAAGCTCTTTATCTGTTCCATCACGTCTTTACCAAAGGATTGGGTAGGCTGGTGTTAGCATGTGCACCAATGTACTGGAAGCCCTAGTGATGAGTAGCTGGAATAGTGAATAATAAATAAATTAGTCCAAGACCCCTGTTTAAGATCTTCTGTTGACTTAGGGCAGAGTGGTGTTGGACTAAATCTTGTAGAACTGGCACAGTGCAGAAAGATAGGAGAAGAAATGGGTGTAAAAGGCCAGGAGAACCTGGAGCAAAACCATTCTAGGGCATGGGGCAAGACAGCTATTCATCAATATGCTCTTGGAAGAAAGTGTAATTTTTGGACAAATGGCCTAGTAGGAATATATGGATTTGTGATTCCATCCATCTCTGATTAAAGAGCTGTTACTGTGTGTTCCTGTGAATTATGTGTCTCTTGTACTTTGAATTTCTGGTTGTATCCTACGCTCATCCTGAGGTATTTGATAGAAATGCATAAAAGTTATTGTTTTCCTGGGGAACAGAATGTTCCATTTAACTTTGTTTTTTAAAGAGTGTTTTTGTAAGCTAATGCTCTCACCAATGTAAACTCTGCCATGGCTTGCTATGCCACAACAATTGACTGCCTCATATGAATATAAAGCTTACTGAAGAATTTATGAAGTTAGTGATTTATTTTATCTGTCACTTCAAACAGAAGAATTATGGTCTCCATCTTGCCCAATTGGGAAGAAACTTAATGCTGACTCTAGATAGTTTTTGCATTACAGTTTATTGCTGGTATGTGCTTTATCGCAGAGATTTGTTTTGTCCCTACCTGTTCAGAAAAGTATTTTGATCTTAGTCTTGTAATCTTCCTCTCTTCGGAGAAACTGGACCTTTACTCTGTCAAAGTGGTTCTTACAAAAAGGGAGCCGTGGGAAGGTGCTGGTGGCACCAGGCATGGGTAGACTGTTTGCTCAATCCATCTGTCCATCCATCCCTCCAGGTGTTCCCCTGCTCACTGGGCTCACCAACCTGTGTCCCCCCCCTGCCTCCTGGCCAGATAAGCAGGTTTGACTTGTGTGGTATGGTTGTAAAATGAAGTTGGGCTCTTGTCCTGACCTAGACAGTGGTGGCCATGCATGGGCTGCCCAACAGGGACCTTTAGACACTACTCCTACATGTTTGCATACCTTATCCTTCTTCCCTTTTTTTAAATCATCCTTGTTGTAATCCTTGTTCCTCACTTTCTCTACCCCACTCTCTTTTCAAAGAAACAGCCTGCTCCATTTATGGTTTTCCTATGGGTCCTAGTTTTACGACATACATACTCAAATTTGCTATTTCTGATACAATTCCCTTGATATTTTTAACCCTAACTGGTATTATTAAGATAGTTGGCCAGTGCTGCTGGCCTTTCCGTGGGGAAGCTGGCTAAAGAGTGGGTAAAGAGTAGTTGGGTGGTCTAACCTCTCTGTTAGATCTTTGTTCTTAATACTGAAATTCTTGAGTTCAATGACAGAGAGGTGAACTCTTCAGGTGGGCTGAGTTGGCCCATGTCTACTCTGGATGATTTTGGTGGTGACAGAGAGAAATGAATACTTCAAAAATTCTGCCTGAAGGGATTTCATGTTCCTTCTGCTGTTTTTTCACAGAAAGGTAGATAAGCTTTGTTTATTTTGACTCTAGGCAGAAGCACTTGTGCGGGATAATGACATATCAGCTCATGCCCAGAATGTTGCCAAGGCCAAATACGAATTTTTATTTGGCTTGGAAGAAGAGAAGCCTTCAGGAATGGGTAAGTGCTATTTATTACTATTGTGTCAAGAAAAAAAATAAAAAACATCTCTTAAACCACTCGGGAAAGTTTTGCAGAAGCTGCTCCTTTAATGATCCCATGAGGGCTCACTCACTGTGCTATGCTGCCCTTTGCAAGAACCATAGGACCCTACTGGTGTGGCCCCAGAAAATGACAGTGGTTCCCCATCTTAAACTCCTGCCACGATGTGACAGCAGGGACTCATGTGCTGGAGACACATTGGTGGAGGAAGTCCCTGCACTTCTCTGCAGTGGAGTTGTTTAGCCATGAGTTCTGCAATTGCACATGCTGAAACATGGCCATTTCTGCCTGGAGGTCCTTCCAGAAATGTGCTTTGTGGTCTTTCTACAGGTAGAGTAGGTAAGATTTTAATTTAGATACATGAGGTGGTACCTGAACTGCTCTGCCCTCTGTAGTCAGTAATTCCAGAAGTCCAGGTGCATTATCTAATGTTATGCCTAAGGATCTGTCTTGTTCCTGTTGTCTTCTTGTAAATACATGGCATTTTCTACCTTTTATAAGAGCCCAATCTTAGAAGAAAATGAATGTAGTTATTTGTTATATGTAGCTATTCCTATTGCCTTGTCAAAATTATCAACAAGCCCTGCCCTCTTCGAGAAAGCATTTCCTCAGGCTGTTCTCTTTGTACCTTGATCCTTTTTAATTGCAAAGTTTCTGGAATGTCACTTAATTAAAGAAGACTCCCTTCTTGCCAGAAAAGGGCAGCACTTTGTTCAGAAGCAAACTCATAGGCCGCTCAACTTCAGTAAGAAGAGAAAAAAACCCAAAAACAAAAACAAACCCAAAACAAAACAAAAAAAATCAACCAACCAAAAAAAAAAAAAAAGCCAACAAAACAAACAAATGAAAATAAAAAGCAGAATTTGAGTTTCTTCCTGGATTTTTTAATGTTTGGTCATCCACTTGGGAAATCTGAATTGCAAAGTGGAAAAAATCCAGATTTCCAAAAGGAGAAGAAAACCCTTTGAAAAGCCCCAAACCAAAAGGACCTCATTTAGGAATTTTAAAAACTCTTCCAAATTACTGCAAAATGTGTATCAGTTTATTACATGAATCATGATGACCTAATTTTTTGCTTGGAAAGACACAGTGTGAGAGCACTGTCAGCAGGCATTGGTACAAATCCAGAGATTGGTATTAAATAAAGGATGCTGTGTCTAATAAATCCAAGTGAATCTATTGTTATTACCATCCAAAACAATTATCAAATATGATGGGTATTCCAAGCTAAGCACTGAGCTCTAAAACAAAAAGTGGCAAAGAGTAAGCCAGATATATTGACTTATGTGCCTAATTCTCTGTATTTTTCCTGTGCTGCTTCTTGCCTTGCTTCTGGATCTCCTCCTGTTCTTTTATTAATGAGAAACTACCATTAGGGGCTAACAGTTAGCAAAATGGGAGTGATTTCAAGACCCTCACAGGAGGGTTTGTGAATATATAACAGTGGTTAATGCACAATGTTTGTGAATTGTATCCAAAAACTGGGTGACATTGTGCCTACCCAGACTGGCCTCATGCAGTCACAGACGAATGCATCCTACTCCTCCTCCTTCTCTTCCAAGTTGTTTGACTGCCATCGATAAATGAGAATGGTTCTGCCCCTTATAGTTTTTCTTCATGTGAGCAGGTTTTAACTGCTTATTAACTGGAGGTGAATGAGGACAGGGTGACTGAGGGGACAGTACGAAGTCAGGGCTTTTGTGCACCAAATCATGGTATTTTTTGGATTTGATATATGTCAAATATGTCATGACATATGCTTTTGGGAGAAGCAGCTATGCTTGAAAATCTTTCTGTTCTTTTCTGTGTTAAACGGGAAAGGAGAAAACACCACTAGAAATCCAAATAAACATGCTACTTTCTGAAGTTTAATTTAAAAGAAAGAAGACATGCTTTTTAGGGGTCAAAGTATGAAATATTTCAAGCAAATGAGTGACAGGGGCAGGGCCAGGAGAAATGTTGGTGTTTAAACTTGGTCAAGAAAACATCTTGTCACTGTGGGCACTTAGGCTGAACTTTAATTTGTGTAACCTGAAGCAGCTGACCCGTGCCATGGCTGGCCTCAGAAACGGAACGCATGTAAGCTGCTGAACGGCTTAATTACTACTGCCTTCTGGTTTATCCTTTCCCTTTCTGCCACAGCCATGTTACTGTAGCCCTGCTGATGCTGCTGAGGATACGCGTGTCTTGACTGAGTACTAAAACACTTGCATCAGACAAGCCAATCCAAAAAGAAGGACAGATAATTGGGGGTGACTGTGGTAAACACTTCTATTTACCCAGGTGGGAGATGGCAGCTTTTGTTAATAAGCTCCCTTGCTGATTTTTACTTTCCAGGTTGAAGCTGCTGGTCACTTTCAGATGAGAGGGGGGAAAGTAAAAAGTTAGATGGCTTTAGAAGAGGTGTTTCATCAACATTATTCAAATGCTAATAAAGCTGTGACATGTAAATCATTTTCTCTCCTTTGCTGTCTTCAGTCTGGTTTTATCTGGGATATTTGTGATCACTGATGCCCTAATGTGTTCTTGTCTTGGTCCTCTCCTCTATTGTCCATTGCCCATTCTCCTGCCCTGGATGTATTACTCGGAGAAGAAGCAGGTCCAAGCCCCCGGGACCCTCCTGTTGTGGAAGGGTTCAAGACCACACATTTCCCTACAGACCCCTCCCACTGGGGGAGCGGGGAGGATGCACCACACTTGTCCACGTGGCCCTGCACAGCCTGGCCACCTTCCTTGGCGAAACCCCAGCCTTCTGCCTTCCAGCAAAAGAAAATGTTTTTTAGGAACTGAATTTAGCTGGGTTGGACAAGACTTCTTCTCAGACTCACTGACATAAAAGGCTGCTTGTTGTATGTGGAAACATACATTCCTCCTCTGGAAACTGCTGTGGAAACAGTGATCTCTATTGAGCAGACTTTTCTTGAGGCTTGGCTGTGCTACAGGTCTGATTTTTATGACTTTGCTGTTAATACATTTAAATACCAGAAAGGAAAAAAAAAAGTCACGGGCACATGACTTAGTCTTAAAAGTGCTTCCTTGGGGGAAAAAAGTGGGGGATACTACAAAATAATTCCTTAAATAAACATGAAGGCCAAATACCCCATAATTCCTGTTATATGAGAAAATAAATCCAAGACTGTTGTTAGGAAGAAAATAGCTTCTTAAGATTAATAAACAGTCTTTTCTCTGATGCTTCAGAGAGAGGAGAAAGCTTTCATCCCTCCTGTGTACCGGAGGTTTAATCTCATCCTTCACAAAAAGGCCCTGTACAAATACTGCCCGTGTTGCTATGCAAATCTGGTCTTTCCCAACAGCTGCTGGAAGTAGCTTGGTTTTGAATTCCTGTTGAAACAAATAGCTTTTTGGAAAGCCTGTCACTTGCTGTTTTGTGCTCAGTGAGGTGTCATGAGGCAACTGAGCTCATTTAACATCTTGCTTCTGCCAGAAGAGATGGTCCCAGACACACGCTGCCATGGATTGTCTCATGCTAGTTCTTGTGCTCATCTGTGTGCTTAGCAAGCTCAAGACAGCAAAAACTGCGTAACAAAACACCCCCCCCCCCCCCTCCCCCAAATAATGCCAAAATAACAGTTCTTAAAAAAAGGCTTATTCTCTCCTGGCAATGTGTGCTGAATCACCTTTGCAAGGGGTCAAACAATGCCAGATCTGACATGGGAAAGAAAATCAAACATGTACTTTGACCAATGCAACATACCCATTCCTGAACCACAATGATAGGTATGATTGCTTTTGCTTTAGAATTTCTAGAACTTGTTTCAAGAACAAAGGAAGAGCACAATGGCTGCAATTTTGTAAAAGTAAAGCCTTTTCAGGGTTCTGTGCTGGTGATTTAAACAGTCTTAAGAAAATCATCCCAGTATCTTTGTGTAAAATTAGCATCACTGACATACTAGGTTGTCTTAATCTTTTGCCTCCCTTATCTACTCGCTCTGTTACTTCAAGGCACATGTGTCCTGCTCGGCTGCATCCTCCTCACATTGCATGGAAGTTGCACCTTCCTGGTCCTCACTGCAGGAACTGCCCTTAGACCACAGGCACTCATTACATTGTTCTAGTGATAGCCCTGACTGCTGACTGCAGTCTTGCCCAGTGCTCCAACCCCATTGTTTTCCATTTTGAGGCACCACCCTTTGCCATATTTTTATCTCTTGCTCTTTCCATCTCCAGGCAATCCTGGAATTCTGGGCTCCCTGGTTTGGTATCTTCCTCTACAGCTGTTTTCCTTAAAAGGTGCAAAGCTGCATTTTCTAAGGGTTGGAGGACTGCCTGATTTTTGCATTAATTTTGCTTAATTACAGTGAAGGACTGGCACATCAGATGTCCTGCAGTGTTTACCAGGAGCACACATAAGGCTGGAATACAGAAAGCTTGGAGCTGTGGTACCCCTCTCCCCCGTAATTAAAATTCCATCATCCTGTTGTGCACACTTGACTTTATCAGCTTGTTGTTGTTGTTGTTGCTTCTAGAGTCCCACTGCATTTTCTGATACACAGAAGACTTGCAGGAGCTTTTAAATCATAGTGTGTAATCAGTAGTTTTCTCATAAATATCCCTGATATTTGGCTTTGCTGATTGGCAAAGATGCAAAAAGAAGGTTAACTTCTGAAATTTAAGTCTCCGGAGGTATTGTATTAGAAGGTACTTTTCCAATTCAGTTTGTGCACTATAGGAGGCGATTACCTCTTTGGCACCAGCATGTTCACTGGCCATGCTGAATGCTCATCTTTCAAGCCAACACAGAGTAAACCAGGTCATTTTGGATGCTCTGAAGAGCAGCAAGCTCTTACAGTGCTGTCAGAGGAGAATTGTGCCTATGGAAAAATAAATGCTAGTGCAGGAGGACAGGTTCCATTGTGCTCTGTGTCTTGGCTGCAGAGGTGGAGAGGTGGAGGGGTCTTGCTATCTCCCTTGAATTTCTGTGTCCCTCTTCCTGGGGC